CACCACGATAACAGGCAGCACCTTGTTTTTTTTTTTTGTTTGTTTTTTTAATTTGCTTGCGAAGAAGACTGGCGCTGACATTTGTTCCCAGAAGCCATTTTCCCTGGCACTATGATGAGATGCGCATGAACATGTTACACCGAAATCACCGTATCACGCGGTGGAATTTTTGTGCCCGGGTGTCCGTCCTCTCTATGTATCCCTGCCTGCAATCCTTGGCTAGATGGTTGCGAACAGAACACTTAAAACAAATGATGCCACCCTTTCGCGCGGCAGCGTCATTATTCGTTTGTTGAGCGGATGCGGCAACCGATTCATCGGGTTCCTTCCTATCGGTCATAACAGCCTTAGCCAGAGTCAAAAGCTGGTCCAAGGTCACTGTGATCATTCTGGATGATCCCCGGAGAAGTTACTTAACTTTTTGATGCAGTCCAGAAACGAATGCGCACAGCATTCATCGCTCGGTCAGTTGCACCCAAGCAGTAGAGTTAAATGTTTTATGGCTTCGACTACAGATAAAATGTATTTTTGGTGATTTTGCTTTTAAAAAGTATTATTCTTAATTTTACTATAAATAGGAATTGTTGAAAATTTCCTTTTTATATAAAAATATATTACTGTTATTTTTACTATAAAAATATATTTTTATGGGAGTATAAAAAACAGTCTCGCTCACTTACTCGCCCATACTCATGAGATGACTCTGACTAGAATGATATCAATATCTCTCGATTCAATATTGTGACTTATACGAGTCATTAAGAAAAAACACAGGTTTCTTATTATCTAATTCGGAATTCTGATCAATACTTTGCAGTTTTCAAATAAAACTATAATCGTTTTCAACATATTTTCCCGCATATTATTATTTTTCCTTTACCCTACATCAAAATAGTTGTTTTAATTCTCTTTTGAGACGCCGACCTCAAAGAAACGCCAACAAATGTAGAAGCCATCTATATATAAAATATTAATACAAGATCTGATCAAAAAAGTACCGGGACTGGTGTCCTTGTGAACCCATACAGTTTATCCAGCATCGTGGAAGCATTCCTGTAACTCTTTTTTTGGAATAGTGAGCATTTGGTATATATAGACTACGTCTATGACGTCACGGCTCCCGTGATTATTTTTAATCGGCGTTTCAGTTTGGTCATCATCAACCACTAGAGGGCTTCCGCAATGTTCTCGATCTTCCGGCTCAAATTTTCCACTGCTGAAACTCTCGAATCACTTTAGAACAGAACCTTTCGCTATTACACCATCTCCATAAACGGCACATATCTTTTTTGTTGTTTATACCTTTTATACACCTATTCGTTGCCTTTCTGGGAGTAAAAGCACAACAATTTCTAAAATGTCTTTATTTTTCCCCATCCAATGCACACATGAATCAGACAGAAACACACTTTGAATTTTCCTCCATTCATAATGCATGAGTGTCGAAAATTCCAGTCACCTTTGAAATTAAGTGTTCAATTGTATTCTATTGAAAGATGATGCGAACTTTTCTTCCAACCAAATAGATCACAGTTCCTATACAAGTGTCACGCGATCTAGATATTTTTGTTTCCCTCTTTCTGCTCATCTTTCTCTCTCTCTCTCTATCCATATATATATATATATATATATATATATATATATATATATATATAGTTAACTTTATTTACATTATTCGGACTATTGTCCTCATCTTTGTCGCCATATTTATCCGAAAGTTTTGGCCGTTGTACGCTCCGGGTGGTTGAAATTTCGAACTTAACCCTTTATTTCGCTCACCGGGATAGACTGTTCTAGTTCCACGTGCCATGTTTGATGGACGTCAGTTATCTGTTATCTCCTGCTAATTTCCCTCTGAAAGTTCTCCACTGCCTTAACCGGGTATTGAACTCACACTCTTTGGGTCCTGTCACTGGATCAAACCAACGCCTTTATCCACTGTGCCATGCGTCATGTGGGTATGAATTTCTGGGTATTATAAACCAAATGTCTTCAGCAACCATTTTTACCAGTGCTCATATTGCAATATTGCTGTTATCATTGCATGTTTTTACCAGAGCTCATATTGCAACTTTAGTAGTAGTTACATCGCCTCTGGTGACTGTGTAGACCCACGCTGGAGCGGCAGTCTCTCTGGCACTTGGCGCAGATGAAACTGGATGACACGGTGACGGGGGCTGTCCTTGCTTTTCTCCTGGCTCTCTTTGCTGCCTGATGATCTTCCCTGGAAGATTCTGCAATCATGACGCCGTCACTGACTGTGTCTCTCCAAAGCTGACGATCGTCAGCCGTGGCCTCCTATGTGTTGGGGTAGATGTCGGTCAACTTCATGTCTCGTTTGCAGACATCCTTGAAGCGGAGCTGAGGTCTTCCAGTTGGGCGGGACCACCCAGACAGCTCTCCGTACAGGATGACTCTTGGGATGCGTCCGGCACCCATGCGGCGTACGTGTCCCAGCCATCTGAGACGTCTTTGGCAGAGCAGCGTAAACAGGCTGGGGATGCCGGCACGTTGGAGGACCTCTGTGTTAGTGACCCATTCTTACCACTTAATGTGCAGGAGATGTCTGAGGCAGCGGAGATGAAAGGTGTTTAACTTCTTCTCCTGACTGATTTCTCCAGGACTCGCTGCCGTACAGGAGGGTGCTGAGGACGCAGGCCCGGTAGACTTGTAGTTTGGTGTTCTCCGTCAGCTGGCTGTTGTTCCAGACGCGCTCGTTTAGCTTGGCCATGACTGCGGCAGTTTTCCCTATCCTAGAGTTGACCTCGATGTCCAGGGAGAGGGAGCTGGAGATGATTGACCCGAGGTAGGTGAAGGAGTCCACCACCTCGAGGTGCGTGCCGTTGATGGCAACGTCCGGGGAGGAGAGGGTCTTGTGCCAGAATGTTGGTCTTTTTGAGGCTGATGGTCAAGCCGAACCCCTTGCAGGCATGGACCAGACGGCTTACTAATTCTTGCAGACCATCCTTCGTGTGGGACGTCAGCCGAGCGTTATCGGCAAACAACAATTCACGAATGAGGACCTCACGGACCTTGGTCTTAGCGCGCAGTCGGACGATTTTGTAGAGTTTGCCGTCTGCTCTAGTGCGAATGTAGATGTCCTCCGTGCAGTCGCAGAAGGCGTACTGGAGAAGCATGGAGAAGATTCCAAAGAGTGTCGGAGCGAGGACGCAGCCCTGCTTTACGCCGCTGCTCACAGGGAAGCCGTCGGATGTTCTGCCGTTGTAGCAGACTGCTCGGTGCATGTCCTCGTGGAAGGACTTGACCATCTGGAGCAGTGTTAGAGGACATCCTACCATCCTCTCCAGGAGGCCGAAGAGTCCGCTTCTGCTGACCAAGTCGAAGGCTTTCGTCTGATCAATAAACTGTAGATCGGCCCACCCTGATGCCACACTGCGATTCGGGGTACATACGGGTGGTGAGGCTCTGCAGGCGTGGCAAGATGACGCAGGCCGACGACGCTGAGGAAGGAAATGCCACGGTAGTTATTGCAATCGCTGCGGTCACCTTTATTCTTATAGAGGGTGACAATGTTGGCATCTCTCATGTCCCGGAGGACGTGGTCCTTCTCCCAGCACAGGCACAGAAGCTCGTTTAGATGCTGCAACAGAGCCGGCTTGGCACTCTTCAGAACCTCCAATGGGATTGCGTCCCTCCCAGAGGCTCTCCTGCAGGAGAGACAGTCGATGGCTCTTCCGAGTTCCACCGCAGAGGGCGTGGCATCCAACTCCTCCATGACTGGGAGACTAGGTAAAGCATCCAGGGCGGCATCCGTCACCACATCCTGGGTTGCATACAGCTCCAGGTATTTCTCCACCCAGCGCTCCAGCTGCTTGCCCTGTTCCGTAATAACATCTCCCGCCCCGGACTTCAGCGGAGCCGTCTTGATGGGAGTGGGGTCGGTGGCGGTTTTGATGCCGGCGTACATGCTTCTTGCGTCTCCACTGTCGTCTGGATCCTGCTGCACAGGTTCAACCAGTAGTTGTTGGCGCAGCGGAGTGTAGTCTGTTGGGCCCTGCTGCAAGTAGCTCTGAGGGCATCGCGAGTATTGACGCAAGGGTTATTCTTGTAGGCCAGAAGTGCTTGTCTCTTGGCTTCAGAGGCCGGCTGCATCTCATCCCAGTGAGCTTCATACCAATCCGCATTTCGACGATCCTTCTTCCAGGACGCAGTAAGAGCTGAGGTGGATATGGCATCACGGAGGTGCTGCCATCTACTGTCGATGTCAGTGGCACTGAAGGAAGATGTATCGACCTTAGCGCTAAAGGTGGTTTGGAAGCGGCGAGAGTTCTCAGGGTCATTGGAGTGACAGGTATTGATGCAAGAGAGGCCCTTGGCTTTGGAGCGATGTATTTTCTTGGCTGTCAGTCTCACTTTACAGCCTACTAGGGAGTGGTCTGCGTCGCAGTCTGTGCTGTGGAAGCTTCGAGTGTGAAGAACGCTCCTTAGGTCTGCACGCCTGGTGATTACACGGTCGAGCTGGTGCCAGTGTCGAGAACGAGGGTGGCTCCAATAGGCAGGAAAGAAAGAAACACGAAGACTCCATCTCTTCGGTTTGCTAGCTGGAACGTCCGGACTATGCGCTCTGAATTCGCAGATGACATCCAACAGATCGAAGATGCTCGAAAGACCGTGGTCATAAACAGGGAACTCTCAAGGCTGGGCATTAACATCTTCTGCCTGAAAGAGACTCGTCTGGCTGACAGCAGTTCCATCAGAGGGGCCACCTACACCTTCTTCTGGCAGAGCCTGCCTCAGGATGACCCAAGGCAACACGGCGTAGGCTTAGCCGTGAAGAACTGACTGAAACCAGCCATTGTACCACCAACTGGTGGATCTGAGAGAATCCTAACACTGCGACTCTTAACATCTACGGGTTTCGCCAACGTCCTCTGCATCTCCGTGCCTACGCTCTGCGCCACCCCAGAGGTAATGGACCAGTTTTACGAGGCACTGGATGAGACGATATACTGAAGGATTATACCTATTGGGAGACTTCAATGCCAGAGTGGGAGCCGACTGTGACACTTGGCTGTCAGGACATAGACAAGATGAATGAGAATGGACAGCGGCTGCTGGAACTGTGCTACCACCACGGACTGTGCGTGACGAACACTTCAAGTATAATATATATATATATATATATATATATATATTCATGTACATTAGTCTTTTCATATCTATTTATTTCCTCTCTCTCTCACTATATATATATATATATATATATATATATATATATATAAACACAGTCATATATTGGTCTGTTAATATCAATCTATCTCTTTCATATTCCTCTTTCTCTATCTCCCTATCTGTTCGTGTGTATCTATTTATCTTAATATATTCATATCTGTCTATCAATCTATCTCAGTCTATTTATATCAATGTATCGATTTCGATATGTATAAAACAAGCTGTTTCAGTTTGTTCAGATCTATCTCTTAGTCTGTTCATTAGTCCATATCTATCTATATATTTATCTAACACTTAGTCTATATATCCATCTGTCTATCTATCGCCTTTCCTATCTATCTATCTATCTATCTATCCATCTATATACCCATTTGTCTGTTCAAATCTATTTATCTAACTCTTAGTCTGTATCTATATCTGTCTATATCTCTCTCTCTTTCTCATATCTCTCTCTATCTATCTATCTATCTCTCTATCTCTTAGTCTGTTCATATATAAATATATATATCTTAGTATCATCTATCTATCTATTTATCTAACTCTTAGTCTGTTCATATCTATATATCTCTGTGCATGTATATCTCTTAGTATTTTTCTATCTGTCTGTCTGTCTGTTCGTATATATATATATATATATATATATATATATATATATATCTTTTCTGTTCATATCTATTTATCTAACTCTTATTCTATTCATATCTATATATCTGTTTATCTCTATCTTAGTGTTTAGTCTATCTATCTAAATATCTATCTAGTATCTATCTATCTATCTATCTATCTATCTCTGTCTGTTCATATCTATATGTCTGTCTGCATGTATATCTACCTATTCATTTATCTCTCTCTAAGTCTGTTCCTATATATAAATATATATACTCTTATATATCTATCTATCTATCTATCTATCTATATCACTCTTAGTCTGTTCATATCTAAATATCTAACTCTTAGTATCTATCTATCTATCTATCTATCTATCTATCTAACTCTTAGTCTGTCCATATCTCTATATCTATTCATCTGTCTGTCTATCTCTCTATCTATTAGTTTTTTCATATCTATCTATATATCTATCTATCTATCTATCTATCTATCTATCTGTCACTTAACCTGTACATATCTGTCTCTCTCCCCAGTCTGTATTTACCCCAGTCTCTATCTATCTACCTCGTTCCGTCCATATCACTCTGGTTACACTATCTTTGGTGTGCATATCAATGCACGCATATTTAGTTCTCTCTATATCACTTTGTCCGTTTGTGTCTCATTCAATCTGTTTCTCTCTATTCATGTGTGTCGATCTTACTGTTCTCTTTTTTTTTTTTTTCCTGCTGTTCATGCACGACACTCTGCCTGTGTATTTTCATACCTCTATTCCGATCTGCCTCAATTTCTTCACAATAGCTGCTCATACCGTTTCGCATACGTTTCTACATATGCATCAATGAAAATCTATTTAAGACTGCTTGTATTTTGTCGTGTCCATTTTCACGCATCAATTCGCACAATTGCATACATGTATGCAAGGAGGTGCGCATCTATGCAGTGGCGTGTGTTGGGTAATTAATGGAGATATTGTAATTTGTCTTTTATATTAGCTGCCTATTGTTGAGTTGAAGCTATTGCGTCTGAATCTCCATAGAAGTGTAGATTGCTGGTCATTGTTACCATAAACAAAGGAAGACGGGAAAAAAAAGAAAACGAAAGGAAAATACGCAAGGTAAAAATGGAGGAATTCTGATGAAATAAAAACAAAGGAGAAAGAAAATAGAAAGATATGAGGATGAAGTAATTGAAAATAAAAATATAAAAAGAGAAGAAGAAGAAGAAGAAGAAGAAGAAGAAATTGTCTCTTCTGGAAGAGTCACGGGAAAAGAAGCAATGAAGAAGAAGAAAAAAGACGTCGAAAGAAGAGTAGAATAAAACGTGTAATAGAAGGCGATATTGGATAAGAGCGGAAAGGAAGGAAGGAAGGAAAAATAGAAGTAACGTTGATTCGAATTAGAAAAGAAAGGGAGAAAGATCGAAAGGAATAATAAAGAAAGGAAGAAGAAAAGAAAGAATGAATATAAATAAGGCTAATAAAAGAAAGAAACAATGAAACAATGAATGTATAAGGAAATAAAGTAAAAGGCAATGGTGAAAGAAAGAAAAGTAAGAAAACATAATATAAAGACTTTAATAAAAACGGAATAATAAAGAAAGAAAGAAAGTATAAGAAATGACATAAAAAGAGCTTAATAAAAATGGAGAAAGAAAGAAAGAAAGAAAGAAAAAAAGAAAGAAAAAAGGTATAAGAAATAACATAAAAAGAGGTTAATAAAAATGGAGAAAGAAAGAAAGAAAGAAAGGATAAAGAAATAAAAAAAATGTTTAATAAAAATGCGATAAGAAAGAAAAATGATAAGGAAAAACAAAGTGGTTAATAAAAAAGAAAGAAAGAAAGAAAGAAAGAAAGAAAGAAAAAAGAAAGAAAGAAAGAAAGAAAAAGTGGCTTAATAAAAAATGAAGAAAAAAAGAAAAGAAAAAAAGAGGAGAAAGAAAGAAAGGACCTGGTACTAAAATAAAAGAGCTTAATAAAAATTGGAGTAAGAAAAAGCAAATTTAATAAAACAGAAAATTGATTAATCAAATGGAGCAGAACTAGAAACGAATAAAATTTAATGAAAGAGAGAACGTCAAATGAGGATAGACTACACTATAGAAAGAATGAATTGAGCCAAAAATGACTAAAACGACAAGAGAACAGCAAACAAACGGGGACGCGTGAAGCAAACAGATGAAAATGGCTGTTGAGGAAGAAAACATATTTGTAAAGAGGAGATGCAGGCTTTGTATGAAAAGAATTTTTTTAAAAATACGTAATATACAAACACATCGACGCAAACAATTATGTCTGTAACATATTCAATACCAATTTTTTACATAATTTACGTACGAAATGCTACAAAAATCAAAGAAGGGAGAAGAAATTGTATCTCTTCTTTTATTGGCCGAAACAAAAGTAAAGAAAAGAAAAGATAGAACAAAGCCAAAATATATATATAAAAAAAAAGAAAAACAAACAGAAAACCAAAATCAAAATGTCGGCTATAGCCGTTTTGTAAAATATCGCATCAAACTAATTATTAACTATTGCTTAATAACCATGATACAAGTCCAATAGAGAAGAACTGATTTTCGCGAAATCTCGCGTCTGTATTACCACAGTAATTAGAATCACAAGCTCAGATTCCACTTAAATATATCGAATGCTGGAAAAATTACCTCCGGTTATTTCACAATGTTTGCTTGCCGTTCTTTTGAAAATTATTGTGATTAGTGTATATCAGGCACCATTTCGTTTTTTCAGTGTTTATTTTATAATTTCTCGTGCATTCTATTGACAATACTGAGAGAATAAGAGTCAGCGACTGTGCTTATTACATTGTTTGAATTGATTGGAAAATTACTGCGCCATCTAAAACATGGGAATAAATATATTCTTGCTCGCGCGTGTGTTCAATGTAGAGTTTGTCATATCATATTTCGGAAGCAACACTTTTTTTTAAAGATTCCTCTATTGACGTTTCAGATTGTTCTTATCAATGTTCAAGGACATTATTTAATTTAGCTAATAATGCAGGCTTATTGCTCCCTGCTATTTTAATACATATGCATGTGTGAGTGAATTCCTACATTATATATTGTGGTTTATTACAAATATATAATCACAAATAGATTAGATATTTTACAGGTATTTAAAAATAAGTTAATATACGCCTGTTTAGAAATACATATTAGTAAGATCTTTCGCACGTACAGACACACTTCTATATACATACATATATATATATATATATATATATATATATATATATTCCGATTTATTTTTGAATTTGTAGATCTGATTAATTGGATCCTTATTACGAGTCATTGGTAATAAATTATAACCATGGAATATTTGTGTTTGAGCCTTTTATATTATATTCTTGCTCTGTCCTGGACATTGAGCTCTACCTGGATTCTATCCCCTGATATATATATATATATATATATATATATATATATATATATAGTTTATGCAAAACTAGGTAATCCGTATGGGTAGACCCAAGGAGGATGATATCCGGAGAGCTCAATGTAAATTCAGAGCAAATAAATTTGAATAAAAACAGACAACTTTAAGGTTCCATGTAATAAATTATTTCACCACAGCATTTTTAAAGGGCTCTGGATCATCAGACTTTACTTCCAAAGGTTGAAATGAAAAATGAAAAGAAATTTACACATTTTTGACGGGCCGTATTAAGCATATGTAAATTAACTAAGTGAGGAATATATATATTACAATTATTTTAAAAAAAATTAGTTTCCTTCGCTACATAAGAGTTCTCATGTTTCAAAAACAAGAGCCGAAAACCTCAATATAATTATTCAAATTAAATTGAATTAAAGTATCAAGCCCTGTTTCATCCTCAAGCGAAAATTTAGGAATAACCAATCTTGAAATTTACGCACTTTTATACGCATGTTCATTCGCAAAATTAATTAATAATCACGTTCAGTTTATTTTAAATAGGATTTTTCATAAGATTTCTCGAATATTCAGGCCGGTAGACGATATAAAATAGTGTTTAGCAAAAAACGGAGCCTCTACTCAAATATATGTCAGATTAATAAATAAAAAAATCCATGCGTTTTTTTTTTAGAAATTTACATATATATATATATATATATATATATATATATATATATATATATATATACAATGTACAATAGCTGATTGTGTCTGTGAAATAAAACATTCCTATAACTCTTGATGTGTACATAAAAACATTTGTTTGAATAAAAAACAGACCACTTTAAGGTTCCATGTAATAAATTATTTCACCACAGCCTTTTTAAAGGGATCTGGATCATCAGACTTTACGTCCAAAGCATTTCAACCTTTGAAAGTAAAGTCTGATGATCCAGACTCCTTTAAAAATGCTGTGTTGAAATAATTTATTACATGGAACCTTAAAGTGGTCTGTTTTTTATTCAAACATATTTGCTCTGAATTTACATTGAGCTCTCGGATATCATCCTCCTTGAGTATATATATATATATATATATATATATATATATATATATATATATATATATATATATCGGTATGAAATTCTCGTTAGCATCTTTTTATTTTTTGAAAAAATTTAACACTTTTTTAAATCTTTTGAGCCATATTTAACGAAAAAATGTTTTTAAGAAAGGTTTCTGTTATATATATATATATATATATATATATACACACACGCGTACAACACACTGGTGGTAGTGGCCATCGAATTTTCATCGTTTTTGATTGAGCTTTTACGAGAAACTTGAGTTAAGCGCTGCATGGAATCTTCCAACTGATATTCTGTTTTTTCTATATTTATATATATATATATATATATATATATATATATATATATATATATATATAATTTATATATACTTTTATATATTACACTTATATATTCATTATTTTATCATATATAATGGTACATGTAATTTAATTGATTTTTAAATTTTAAATATTGCGTTGTATTAAGGCGCATTAAATAAAATAAGTATTGTATTTTAGGTTCAAAATTATATAAAAAAGATTTAATCCCACTAGAGGCCCCTTTAACGTTGTTCTTAACTGTATATAAAATATAATATTGTACAAAAATAATTTTAAAAAACTAAAATTAACCTATTGTTATATATATATATATATATATATATATATATATATATATATATCGGATTATTTCATTTCATCTTTTAAGTATATTCTTAACCGAATGTATGGTGTCACGTCTTAATGTGAACGTTCCTCGAGACAGATATGAATACGTCACACGTCCCAAATATCTAACCTATATTTTTAACTTTTCTGCTTTAGATTTGACCTGTCTTTTGATTGGTCAAAAGTGACACGCACATAAGATTTTAAACACTTGACCCCCCTCCTTCTTAACTCTTTCTGTTTGTTTGTTTTTTGTTTTTTTAAGTAAATCTTTCTCATCAAAAGTTATCGAACATTGCCTGATGACGGTATTAGTCCCGAAACATAGAAATTTTCGTGTCGTAATGCAAAATATTTTTAAATAAAAATATTATTAAAATATATTATGCTCCACGTTGTATTGAGCACTTTAAAAAAAAGTAAATGCTAAAGAAGAATTGATTTTAAATTATATTTAATATTTACATATATATATATATATATATATATATATATATATATATATATATATATATATATATATATATATATATATATATATATATAAGCATTTCACCCCAAGCAAGGCCAGAAGCCACTAGCACGCAAGGGGTTACATAGAATTTGGAGCGAGATCAGATAGGAATGATAGAGGAAAGGATGAAGAGAAGGATAGTGGATAGATCAAGGCAACTGGAGATGTCTATTGATATTACGTTTGAATAGTTGGAGATTAAGGCTATCAAGGAAAACAGGAAATGGAAGGGAGTTCCACAGGCGAGAGGTACGAGATATGAAGGTATTGGAGTAGAAGAGACGGCTACATTTAGGAGTTTCGACAGTGAAAGGGTGAGAGCGGGATGCCAGCCTCGTAGGGCGCTTGAATTTATGAAACTTGGGAACCATTGAAAGCAGCTCATCGGAGCAGTTGTCTCATGAAGACAGAGAGAGGCGACGGTACGTCTGTGAGAGAGTGACTGCAGACGAGATGCCGGATCATGGCCAATTACATTGCATATCCATCTCTGGATCTTATCAAGAATCCCGAGGCAAACAGAAGGGGCTCCAGACCATATATAGCAGCAATACTCCATGCAGGGCGAATGTGTATATATATATATATATATATATATATATATATATATATATATATATATATATAATCATTATTATTTAATATATTATTATTATATATTTATATATTTAATTATTTATTATTTTTTATATATATATATTATAAAATGGACAAAGTCCGACAATTATTTTAAGACATTTTTATGTTTATGCATTCTTTTTATAGATACAAATATTTAAGTATATATATTAAATTTATAATAAACAGTATTAAACAACATTTACCGGCCTGAATGTCCGAGAAATTTTCACAGAAAATATTCGTCCTCCGAACCTGTATCGTCCTCGAACCTGTATCTTATACGGAACCGTCATTTAGCTTGACGTGCCTTTACCGATTTGGCCACAGAGGATCGTTCGGTTAGCAAGGTCGAATTTATTGTATTTAAACTTCAATCTACGAATCTCATGTACATTCATATCTGCTCATGGCGTATCAAACGTAAACAAATGACGTCACACATTGTGAAATCGACAAAGTCCGACAATTATTTTAAGACATTTTTATGTTTATACATTCTTTTTATATATACAAATATTTAAGTAAATAAAGGCATTTATTTAAATATTTTTTATCCATAAAAAGAATGTAAAAATGTCTTAATATATATATATATATATATATATATATTGTTATGGGATCATACTCATAATAATAATAATGGACAGTTCCATACTTAATAAATACTGCGCCTCGGGAGTAGGCAAGGAGTCCGTCGCTCGCTTTCGGTTGAACTCTCTGCCTTCGGGCGGTGAGGAACGCGAACGAGGCTACGCCGAAGGGCGGAGTCTCGTTCGGTGAGGTAAACCGGCCCTGAGCCCGTTTATACGGGTTCAATGGGCATTTTTGGGGCCGAGCCCACGGGCTCGGATAAGCCCACATAAATAACCGACCTTTGTCACATGCTGCCCCCATGGTGGGGGGGGGGTGACTGTAATCGTAAATCGGTTCAA